AGTAACAATCTCGGTCTCCGTTAGTCTGTCTTGACGACGGCCGAAGGTGAGTTAGGGTAGGCAGTGCGGTAGTACCAGCGCAAAACTTAACTCTCACTTAGGACTAAATCCCGCGGTTTTTCTGGCATGCATTGGAGAAAGTGGCCAACGCTAGATTCCGTGTTGGTCTTCTTGACTCCGGGTGAAGGTGGAGAGTTCGGCAGATGCTTGCAACGGTAACGAAAACTGAAATATAACACCTGTCTACAGTTACCTTCCCTGCACCAACATATTTGGAACAAATGGTGGACTTTATTCAAATCGATGGTCAAACAATCAGTCAGCCCGTAGCTTGCACAGGCAATTGCGAATGTATCAACGTTCGATTGCTTTTTTCGTTCTGTCGGGGTATCGAACACACAGACATCCACGAGGAGAAAGTTGCGGATAGAAACATTGGAACTTTAATGTGCCGGCTATTAAAAAGCTGGCTGCCAATCCTAACGGCGATGCGTATCTCAGACTGCTTATCATGGTAGAGGTCCATTAGCAAGGCAGAACACGTGAGACTGAATAGGGTCGCACCTGGTACGCGCAGCCCTGCTTTATGCCATTATTCACTTCAAATGTCGCAGAGTCTTTCGCGATGTCCGTGACGCACGGTATCATCTCATCACGAAACTGAAAAGTAACTTGCATGAATCGCTCAGGCAGTCGAATTTTTGCATAAATTTCCACAATCCGCTAGGATTTGCCCTGTTAAAAACTCTCGTAAGATCCACGAAGGTAGTAGCCAGATAAGTCTTCACTTATTGACAATTCTTTTCTAGATGGCCGGCGGTGGAGACCAAACTATTGGTTCTACGGTGTCACCGGAAGCCACGATGGCTTTCTAACAGCCGTCCTTGATCAAAGTTGCTGCTGAGGTGTTTGGGAAGAATGCAAGCAAAGACCTTCCCCGGCCATTTTGTGCAACGAGATGCGTATGCAGTTATCACAGGGTTGCTGAATTCCTTTGTGCTTGTAGAAATGGAGGCTGGCATTGTCCATAAAATCCTGCACTATCACGTCGGTTCCTGGTACTTTTCGGCTAGAGGTTTATTGCACGGTCCGGATGGTTTATAACACGGAGAGCAGACCGGAAATCTAGGTGTCTGTTCGTTTCCACTTGGCGAAGCCAGTCGATCACTGCATCACATATCCTTTATGAGCGGTTGAGTGCAGGTCTGAAATGCGGCGCCTAGCACCGGATAAATTGTGATTTCTTTTTCCGAAGTGTTATGTCGTCAGAGCTGAGCAACGGCGCCTGCTCCTTTGTTATGGAGGCCGTCGGTGGTCTTAATGGTGTTGGAAGCATTCCGAATTTCATTGCCGTCCATGTTGTAGCCTCGGAAATTTTCAGTTCTCATTACAAGTAGAAGTAAGCATTAAATGTCTACCCTTAAACACCTTTATGTCTGATAACTGACATATATCTTTATGATTTCTTGCCTTTTTGCCTTTGAACACACAGGTGATTGGGAACAACTTCAGACATTTTGCAGAAATAAGCGCAACGAGACCTATGTCATGTACAAACTTCTGGACGAAAATCTTGACCATTACGACAAGATTGGGAACAATTTGAAGATTTTTCAAAAATCCAATGACAAAGTATACTCGGAAGACATAAGCCGGTCCGTTAACGCTCGTGCCTCTTTTGCTGGGGGGATCTACAAGTTAGCAGAAAGAAAATCCCGCAAAATAACGGCATATTTGGTAGTTTACAGTAAGTATTCTCGGTTTTCCGCGCATATTTTTATTGTCAAATTTTCTCGCCTGGTAGCTAACCGAACAACAGCTACTAGGGTATGAGGCGCGTATATATAAAAAATAACAAAAAAGACTCAGAAAGTTCGAATGTCCAAAACAGCTCTATTTTCAACAGTCCTGTATGCGTATAATGCCGTTATTTTACACTAATTTTCCTCAGCAATGTGCATTAACCTCCCTCTCTACATGCAAATTCATTGTGGATGTTCACTTAGAAATAAATTCCCAAACAAAATGCATCTCCCCTTTATAGCAACTTGAGGTATTGACGATGTTTTCCATAAAGGATGCGACTGCATTGAAAGGCTCGCAAAATTTGCTGTTGTTAATATATCATCATTTTATTCCCTGTATATGCACAAAAAGACGGCGTCTGATTATTCATCCTCACGTACCAGAATTTCAAAAAACACAAACAGTGTGTGACTCGAATACAACTGAGTGGGAATGCCATAAAAGCCGTGTTGGGAAGGAGCCGCTGTAATCTTATTCTCAATCCAATGGTTTCTCAATAGTAGCGAACATTCGAGTCCCAGGAAGCAGTTCAGAAGATGGAACAAGAGTTTCATTTGCCTGACGTTTCGGATTCCCTCGGGAATCATTAATCATAGGTGATGAT